TACTATTTAAATCATTTCATCTTATAAAATTACGGCTTTTTCAGCTATTAAATATACCAAAACATAATCAACATCTATTTGATTTGTATAATAGATTTACTTTTGAGCAGAAATTTGACTTTTTGTTTGGAAATATGGCAACCCTAATCTTATTGATACAAAGCTTGATGTTAGTGAATCAAATTGAAACAACGTTTATTGGAGCTTTTCATGAGGGAAGTTTTATAGAATATGATGAAAATCAATGTCATCGGAAATGGGCTAATATATCTGATACACCTTGTGCTTCATACATAGGAAGGCACATACATTGGCATGTCGTTTTTGGTGGTCCCAGTACTTATTACAATTGTTGGAACAGCACTTAAAATGAGAAAACCTGGTGGACTGAGCAGGAACAGGAAGAATTTAACAAAATGCCTTGTTTTCTTTTCTTGAATCCAAAAAAAAAATTTACTTACTGTATTGGTAGTAATTGTAACATAAGAAGTTTTAGTATTTTGGTTTATCTTCTTTATTAATTATTTTATCTTTTTTAGCAAGAATTAACAAAATCTAGAGATGTACCTGCGAAAGCTACTACCATTAACGAAAATATTGTGAATAGAAATCTTAGTCCGAAACCGAAGCCATCTGCTCATGTGCTGGGCAATAACCACAGAGTTATCGAGCTTGAGAAAGAGTTTTCTTTGAAATTTTTCTTATTTTCTTTTATAAAAATATAGTTCTTTCAACAAAAAAAAACCAGCAGAATAAATATTTTTAATCTTACATAGAACTCGGGAAAATTCAAGAAATACCAACAAAAGATTTTATCAAAATTTTCAACTTTTTAATTTGATTTCTTAGAAAAAGTATGCAGTTAGTGTAATAAGGCGTAAGTTTCAAGTCTCTAAAAATTGCCGTTGATTATTGAGATTTTTTTTTGTTAATGGTTTTGCGCATTTTCTTCTATATAAAAATAGATTTTGTAGATATTTATTTGTTTACTATTGCTCGAATTTTCGCCTCGAGTTCTCTATGAAATTGAAAAAATTGATTCTGCTGGTTTTTGCTGTTGAATGAACTATTTTTTTTTATAAAAAAAAATAAAAAATTTGGTATGGAGAAAATAATTAAATAAAATCGTCAAAACGTCAAGGTATTCATATTTTGACGCTTACTGTATATTTTTCTATTACGCTTTACACTGGAGCGCACCAGGTTTAGGCGAACGCGCTCAACGCCAACATTTTGGTCCTACATGAGTCTTACTTATTTATTTAATGTTAAATGTTTTCTTTTCAGGTATAAAGCAAAGTGGAGATCACAGTATACAAAGAATAACGCGCCAAAGAGCGATACGAGCCAACACGTGACACTTAGGTCACTGCCTTATACGTCTTTAAATTTAATAAATGCAAGTATCGCCGTAACAAACTTTGCTGGGACTGTCAATGGCTGAACTAGCCGAGGAGGTGGTGGTGCAAAGCACCGCAACTGATTGGATATAGATGACGAAAACTATAAACAACTTTAAAAATGTATGTTTATATGTTTTTTTTTTTNCATAATACATTGGTTGCAGATGCTATGTCTCGAAACCATTTCCAGTTTATCATGTCTAATTTACATGTATGTGACAACGACAAACTAAGCCCAACTGATAAATTTGCTAAAATAAGGCCATTGTTGGATATGCTGAACAAAAGATTTATGGACTTTTCTCCTCACGAACAAAATCATTCCGTAGACGAGTCGATGGTTCCTTATTTTGGACGCCACAGCGCAATTTATAAGAGGTATGTGATATGAGTAAGATTTAAAAAACATAAAGCATGCATAACAGGTATCCATTATTAGGCAAACCTATCCGTTTTGGAATGAAATTTTGGTGCGGGGGTACGTCAAGTGGCTACTTATCGTGGTTGGATCCATATCAAGGCGCACAACCGGCACAAATAACTACCAAGACAAAGGACTTGGTTATGTTGTAGTTATGACATACGTGGATCAACTTCCTCCTCAAATTCCATTCCGGATATATTTCGACAACTTGTTCACAAGTTTCAATCTATTGAATGATCTGAAAGAGAGAAACATTGAGGCGATTGGAACTATCAGAGCAATTCGAATTGACACGAGTTGCACTTTATCCAATATTGATGTTATGAAAAAGACGGAAAGGGGATCTTATGAATATGTCACTGACCGCAATTCAGGAATATGCTTGACTAGGTGGAACGTCAATAGCATAGTGACGATGGCTACAAATTTTGATTCTGTTCATCCTGTAAAAAATGTTCGGAGATTTTTGAGAGCCAAAAAGAAGAATATCTCAGTTACCCAGCCTAAAGTTTTACATAATTATAATCAATACATGGGAGGAATAGACAGAGCAGATCAAAACATTTCTTTATATAGATGTGGGTTAAGAGGTAAAAGTGGTACTTTCCTCTCCTTACTCATCTAATAGATGTAAGTGAACAAAACGCATGGCAGCTATACAACCGATATGAGGATGATGTGGACC